TTTTCCCTGTGACCCAAGCACTTCTTTTTTCACAAACTGATCGTTTTCCCTGTGGCACAAGCGCGTCTATTTGCCACATAGAGGGGTATCTAATAAAAACACAGAAACGAGGATATAACCTTTCACACCAGTCTCGGGCAGGTGTTTATTCGTTAGGGGAATAGTCAAATTTTAATTTGCCTTTTAAATGATGAAAATCTACCAATTACTGAGTTTTTTATGCAGATCTGTATTTATTGTTTCCATGGCGCTACCAGCGCTATTGCGCTATTGACTTTTGTTCATGATGACTTAGAGGGGTATCTAATAAAAACATAGAAATGAGTATATAACCTTTCATCACAGTCTCGGGCAGAATGTTTATTCTTTAGGGAAATAGTCAAATTTTAATTTGCCTTTTGAATTATGAAAATCGACCAATTACTGAGTTTTTTTAACGGATCTGTATTTGTTGTTTCCATGGCGCCACCTAATCGCTATTGCTGATGGCGACTTACGCCCACTTGATGCAACCTTTTGTTCTGAAAATATTATTGAGCTTTAATTGGGATTAGAAGTTGTTTCTTTTAACACCCTTATCCATTTCTGAATAGATAATTATCTACATGTTGTTATCAATTGTTTAAAACAAAAAAGTTACAAAATAAATAAAAAGTCCTATCAAATTTTGATTCATTCCAAAATAATGTCTGGGCCACAGGGAATAATTAGCCAATTAATGGCAGGTACTGAGACAATAAAAGCAAAAAGTAGGTCAGTACCGTAAGGGTTTAAGTCCAACCACTATTGGAATTAGGGAGGTGGTGTTAAATGAACAAAAGAAAACCTTCAAAATGGTCAAGTCAAGCTCAGTGCAAGATTTTAACTACAACTGCATTACAGTAGTGAATCTTTAAAAAATTTAAACAAGATTTTTTTGTCACAGATCAATGGTAATATAATTATAACCTGCAAGATGTAACTCTTGATTATCACTACTATGATTTTAACCAAAAAAATGTATGCTATAGCGACAGATGAATTGAAATATAATAAGCAATCCATCTAAATAATTTTTTAATTATTTCTTTTACAGCAAAAATGCACTCAATATGTCAGAAGGAAATTTCGATTTTTTGGGGATTTTTATCTAATTTTAACTATATTAGGCTTAGGAATGTGCAAGACTTTACCCTAACCTAATCAGTGAAACTAACCATTCCAATAAAATCTTTTGATATTTTTTACATGCACTTGCAAGATTAATCTTTATATAAAGTGCATTCAAGGGATCAAGATATTAATATTTATTATTGGAACTACCTACTTGGTACTCTGTATTTATTAAAGTAGTTCAGTTGGTTTTGTGCAGCGTCTATGCTGTATCAATTAAAAATTGTTTTGATAGAGTCAAGTGAAGTAAATGAGGTATGTCTTCTTGTATAAGTATACGATTTAAAAAATCGATTAGATTGTTTAAAATGTGCTATTTTACAGTGCACAAAGAATGTGGCTTAAATATAGAGCAAAATTGAAAAGACGTGGGTGCTGGATTTTTTCTTGGCCGACGCTCAAGTGGTAGATTACCTATAGAACTATATTTAAAATAGAATTAAAAAATACATTAAAATTATAAACATAAACGTATTCTTACTTGCTTTTAGCTTTACGTCACAATTTCTTCGTGTTTCTTCACGCTACCGGTTTATGAAGTTCTTCAAAATACGGCACATGTAATGTGTGATGGCTTTAAGATCGCAAACCAACAGGAAGTATCCGTCATAATCGTCACGTGACCAACCGAATATTATAAAGCCCTCACATGACCAGCCGGGTCCGAATAGCCAATTCCTGCTATAGGTACCCCCGGTTACCTATAGCCACTCCTTTAAATAAATGTCTTTTAAAAAATGGGAAATCCTGTAGTGAAATGAAAATAAAATTTTTAAAGTTTATAAGTATATAGTTGCGTAAAATTATCAACTGCTGATTTCTGTTCTCATCCTGAGTATGACTCTATCAACATTCGACTGAAAGCGGAAGTGTTGCTTTTTATGTATCTTGAGGACCTTTTGATCTGCGTGACCAACAACTTTAAACCAATATTAAAAAAAAAAAAAAAAAAAAAAAAAAAAAAAAGCAACTTTTTTGAATGTAAATCTATACTATACAAGCAAGTATAACGCTATATGTCGCGATCAATCATACTAAAAGAGATCCGAATTGAAGGACTACTTCCAGTCAAACTAGAAACTTGACACGTGGCAACGTTGAGGCTGTTCCCGTCAAGATCCCCTAGAAAAGATTGAAAGTTCTTTTCTTTTTTTTTTTTAAATTAAATACCTTCTCGGTCTCCTTTAGGATTTCTTTCTTTCAAGTGAGCGTGCCTAGTTTTAACTTTGTGTACAATGCGCGCCCAACAAAGACCATTGCTACACAACAGCTTTCAAACACAAGTAGGCCCAGCTAAGGTTTTAATAGGAACACAATAAAAAAAAATATGCATTGGACACCTTTGAAGCCTAGGCCTACCAATTAAGATTTCATCGTAACGAAGAGGGGAGGTAAGCATATGTACACTGCATGGCTCGATAAAATTATGAACGCGGTTCTGTCCCATCGCCCACATTTTTATTTTTTTTTCTTCTTTTAAAATTTTCTGTCACCCGTCCGTCACAACGAGATGATGGTGTAGACTTCGCAGGACGAAATCCTGCAAGGCCTGGGAATATTCTTTTTTCGGAGGAAGCTGGTTCCCACACAGCAAACCGCCTGTCTCTACGCCGCTGGATAACCAAAGGGGACATCATGTGGCTGATACAGCTTGTCTGGGTGGTGTTTCTTTGTGCCAATTGATCTGCCGGGTTTGAATTCAGAGTTACCTTCTCTTAGATGAGTTGCCATCCAGTGTTACCGAGTCATTCCGAGTCTCACCCCTCCAGGGGTGCTGAAGATGATTTTGATTGAACTCCATACCACATACTTCAGATTGAGTCAGTCTAGACCACCCAGCACCCAATTGCTTCTTCTTATTTATTTTTTTAAATTCTCATACTTTTATTTTTCATCACACTTGCTTCTTATTTCCATTATTAAGACAATGAATATTTTTTGTATGTAAACTAATTTTTTTTTCTTGAGAAGACATTAATTCGTATGTAAAAAAAAAAAAAAATCCCTTTACTTGAGTTCTCTCAATCCTACTTCACTCAATTCCTTTGTAATCTTAAATGCCCCCCCCCCCCCC